CTAAGTGTCCCTCAACTGATGAGTGGATAATGAAAATGTAGTTTATTTATAAGATGGAGTTCTACTCAGCAATAAAGAAAGACGAAATCATGAAATTTGCAGGTAAATGGATGGAACTAGAAACTGATATACTAAGTGAAGTAACACAGACTCAGAAAAACAAATGATGTATGTTCTCCCTCATATGTGGATCCTCGCACCAAATCCTTATAAGTGAGTGTGTATCCAGACATAATTACAGGAACCAGGATAACGAAAAGGAACCAGGGAGGTAAAGGAAAAGAAAGAACCTGAAAGAGAAGAACAGTAGGAAACAGGTGTTAATAGGGAGATATTGGGTTATTTTAATGGGAGGGGGAGGGAGGGTTATACGAGGAACCTTGGAGAATAAATGGAAAGAAGGGGCTGAAGAGAAGAGGGCCACAGGAGAAGAGTATTACTAAGGGAGAAATGGGAAAAATGGAGAAACCGTGGTGGAAGGTTAGACAATGCAAGAGATAAATAATGCTTAGCTAGTTTAAAAAAACTAGAGGGAACCATGTTAGTCCAACAACCTACTGACAAATTATACATACAACTAGCTCAAGGAGCATAATATATGTCTAGTCAAGGTTTATATGAGAACGTTTGGTTTCTGCCCAAGCTTTATCTACATAGCTCATGGTAATTAAAAGTATCAGACTTGTGGAACTAACCTTCTTGGATGGTTAACAGTCATACTTTGAGGCCTATACTAATCTGGTCAGAGGGACTTATAGGACAGTTTTTGCTCCTTGCCCTCCAAGGTTGACTAAGCTCCAGGGGACTATGGAGCATCTCTCAAAATGACCTGTAGCTGTGGTATGTCACCTGTCCTCTTGATCAAGGAGGCCATGGAGACCCCACCAGATGGACTTGAACCAGTGTCCAGTCTACAAAGAGGAGGGTCAACACAGAGGAAACATTTCCTCCATGCTTCCAAGTGAAGCCAGACATGGTTGAGCAGGACTTTTGACTTCTCTTCACACAGATGGAACTGGTAAAAGAAAGGAGCCAAGGGCTCCTCCCTAGCCCATGTGACCCCTGAGGAACAGATCCTCAGATACCATTAAGTATAAAAACAAATTGATTTATTTGGGTCAACTGTATGGTCTTAAACACCCAAAAGGAAAGTATAATCAAAGATTAAAGTGATCAGTATAATTCAATAAGAGTCCATGTGTATAGCTAAAGGCTACATAACAAGAAACAATGCCAGACAGGAGATATCTTCTTTTGAGTTGTTGGCCAGGGTGGCCCAAGAGACTCCCAGACATTAACCCAGCATAGAACTGGGAGAATGAACAGTAGACCCCAATCTTATTTTAAGGAATGTTGGCAACTGATTGCTGCTAGATGAGGAAGATCTGATCTTCCTAAAACAAGGAACTCTAGATTAAGCAGAAGGACTAGCACTGGGTAACGTCTGGGGGCACTGATAACACAGTGGACAGTAACAGGGATGACAGACTATATGGGCTCTAGTGGCGGGGGGTATGAGAGGGTGCTATTTGGGATGCTGGTATAAACATAAATAAGATCATTTGGGATGTTCTGTATGAAATACACACAAAAATATCAATCAGTAAAAAAAGTTATATTTGAGGAAGAAATTTAAAAATTTGCTTCATGTTAATTAGTAGGTATGAAAAATATTACCATTGAAATCTACCTGATGACTTTATGTCCCTGCTCAGGTGCCAAGGAGCTCAGAAAGTACCGACTGTGACTAGTAATAATCAGAAATATAGAGATTAGAGATGCATGTACAAACATCTGAGGGTTAGCTGCATTAAAAATGAGCTTATCTGTATGAAACAGTATATTTTAAAAAGAAATGGAGGTCTTTTGTAAAGGTTAAAACCTTGTTCAATTTTATATCTTACAAGGTTTATACTGAGTACAATAATGTATAACTGTATTAATTCAATGTTGTGAACCTAAAAATTTACAGCCAAATTTGAAAGAGATACATCTTTGCTCTGGAAACGGTTCTTGACTATGTCAATGCTGTTGTAATGAAATGCTTCTAGGAATTATGTGGTTACTAAATTAAAAAAAAAAGAGAACCTAAAACAAAACAAAACAGGAAGCTCAAAGAAGACCCAAAGAACAACACAAAGGGCGATTAAAATACCTCAGAAGGGGCTGGAGAGATGGCTCAACGGTAAAGAGCACTCTTGCAGAGGACCCGGGTTTGGTTCCCAGAACCCTAACAATCATCTGTAACTCCAGTTCCAGGGGAATCCAACATCCTTTTCTGACCCCCATGGACATTTCACAATACGGGTGCACTTACATATATGCAGGCAGTACACTCATACATATAAAATAAAAATAATAAAATAATTTTAAAAATACCTCAGAAATCAGGCAGGAGAAGTCAAGAAAAACATACGTGAAGAGAAAAGCTTTTCATAAATAAAACGCACAGGAGTGCGCAGAGCAAACCCAGCCAGTAAGGCCTGAGTAGGAGAGAAGTGAGAACACTTCAGGAAAGCAGGACTGGGCGGGGGATGGGGGCTGCTGCCAACCCTGAGAGCCTGAGTTCAGTGCCCGGGAGAGACCCGATTTCTACATTTTGTCCTCTGACGTCCACATATGTGCAGCGGCACACATATGCATGGGTGAACACTCACAGTAAAATAAAAACGTAATTAAAAAGAGAAGAGAAATATAATAAAGATGGAGAGAAAATGGGAAACACTGAAGACCCGCAGAGAAAACCAACCCGAAGCAACGGGAAAATGCGACTTTCACACAAGCCCCAAAGAAAAACAAGGGGAAACTCCACATCAAAAGACAGCCCTGTATTTAAGAACACAGGCCCAGAGAGACCCACACACTGGTACTCCTGGTTTCTAGTGAGAACGGAGGAAAAAGTATTGTTCCCACCTGTCGCAGAGGAATTTTCTAGAAAACTAAGGCCAGAAGGGCCTCTGAGCAGGTGAATGAATGCTCTTCCCTTGTAGAGGGCAGGGCTCCTGCTGGGGAGAGTGCAGCCTCTCGTGGAATGGGGGGGACATACGTGGTTTGGCGGAGGGGAGTGGGGGACCACAGATGAGGCAGGAGAGGGAAGCCGGGGCTGAGGTGCGGGCCTGGAGCGCTCACCCATGTAGGGCTTGGTGCCGGCCATGGAGGAAGCCTTCTCTGCTCCTTTCACCACCGTGGCGATGTTGAAGTCGGTGATGTGCACGTGTCCTGCAAACAGAGCAGAATCTCCAGTTAGCCAGGGCCGAGGGCTGTGCCCTTTCCCGTGTGAGGGGAAGCCGGGGTCTGCATGGTGGGGGCAGGAAAGGGATACCAGAACTCAGGTCCACCCTTACAGTGTCTCTGGTTCCTACAGAGTATCAATTCTGCTTTCAGATTTTAGAATGAGTTCTTTACTTTGTGCGGGTTCTTGGGTGAATATGCTTATACTGCAGGACAGGTTAACTAACACATGTATGGATGTCAAGTCAAGACACACTCATCTGTAGATGGGAGGTCTACCTGTGTGTCACGGCAGCTCTACAGAGCCTTGGTGGGAGGGTCAGGCAGGGTTCAGGCTCTGGAAAGTCTGTGGGTCGCAGCACTGAACTTGGGACTCTGGAGGAGGTGGGGGATGGGGTGGCCTCCATCCAGCCTGAAGGTAAGGCAGCAGATGGGACCTGGACAGATTGGGGACACCTGTGACACACATGTTCTAGAAACAGGAGGAGGAAGGAAGGATGAATGAGAAGAGGAAGACACAGGGGATGTGGGGATGTGGGGGCAATGAGGAGGAAGGAAGGAAGGGTGGGGGGAGCCCTGAATGGTCGCTACTTGCCCTCTGGGGAGTTTGGCATATGAACTTGGCAACCAGCTCTGAGAACCTTGGAGGTAAATCTGAGCATAATTAGATTCCTCTATGTCATCACACCATGTGAAATGGCTTCTTGTATTTTTCCCAACTTTGAGAGTTCTGTTTGGGCTGTGGGACTTGAACATACAGATAGGGGCGCACACAGAGGTGGCTTTGGGGGTACTTGGAGGTGGACTTCTGGAGCAGGTGTAGTAAGGTGTGCTGAGAGGCCCAGGGGACTACCTGCAGGAGAGGCGTGCCCAATGTGGTCAGCTACAGAGACAGAAAAAGCAACAGCATCCTCACACACCAACTGCCACTGACCATGTACCAGTCAAGTTGCAGGAAGCATCATGAACATTCCAGTGCTCCTCAACCCGGTGAGAAAGAGCACCCCTCAGATTCTCAATGAAGAAGCTCAAGTCACCAGCCAGGTCCTGTTGGGCCTAGGATGCTTCTGTGTTTGTTTTCTGTTCAGTATCACCATGCCCTCCAGACAGAGTCAAGTCAACAGCATCCTTCCCACGTCCTCGTTCTACAGGAGCACGCAGACAAGTTCACCTTCCCATGCACACTGAGGGGTGTGGAGGATGTGTGCGAATGGGTGCATCAGCCTTTGCTAGGCCCCACACCCAAACAGTTCTATGCACAACAGCTGTGAGAGGGGTTTGGAGCCTTTGAATGCAGCGTTTATCCAGTTTTCTTTCATTACTCTCTCTAAATACACTTTAGCATTTGCATTATAAAAGTGATGCCACCTCATTATAAGTCAAACAAAAGACACATCTTTTAGCTTCCTGTGTGTGTGCACATGTATGTGGGACTGCACACATATGTGCGTGCATGTGTGTACAGAGGCTAGAGGTCAACATTGAGTGTTTCCTCCGTTGATCTTCACTTTACTATTTTTGAGACAGGCCCTCTCAGTGCAACCTGGAGTTTGCAGGTTTGGCTAGCTGGAATGACCAGGAGACTCTGGGGGCTTTCTGTCTCTGTCCCCCACACTGGGATCACGGGTGCATGCAGCTGCACCAGCGTTTTACATGGCGCTGGGGATCTGAGCTCAGGCAGACATCGTGCATGGCAAGCACTTCCACTGAACCATCCCCAGCCCCTGGCTTTCCCTTTTAAGCCCCTGTCCTGCCCCTCTCCCCAGCTCTGTGACCACACTGAATCCGTCCTGTCCCTCTCCCCAGCTCTGTGATCACACTGAATCCACTATTTTTAGCATTTCTCCTTTGCTTGTGCAAACAAACATCCACATAACTTGGGACTTTGGTTTATTCTTACAATAATGAAGTCAAACTCCATGGACCATTCTGAAAGTGAATTTAATGCTTAGCTTTGTTTCATAGACAACTTTCCGGGTTAGAGCATACAGGTCTACTTAGGACTCCCACAATTCCTTATCTTCTGCTTTAGTCCATATTATGTTCCTAGAAGTGAATATTTGAGGTTGGGTAACTTATAAACAAAAAAGGTTTACTTAGCTCATAGTTTTGGGGGCCGAAAACCCAAGACTGGGCAGGTTCCTCTCTGTGGCCTGTAGGACAGAGCCCCCACCTCATCACAACTTGAATGCCACCAAGGCCGGAGTGCTGGGGCAGGAGAGATCACACGGCAAGACAGGGGAACAGAGAGGTTCAGAGACAGGTGTGACCTTTTGTTTTTAAATCTTTAAATGTATATTTTAAGATTTATTTTTATTTCTTACTTATGTGTATGTGTGGGTGTCTGTGTATGTGGGTGCCTCAGGAGGCCAGACAGGGTGCCAGATCCCCGGGAGCTGGAGTTACAGGCAGTTGTAAGCCCTCTGACTTGGATGCTGGGGACTGAATCTTGGTCTTCTGCAAGAGCAGCACGTGCTCTTAGCCTCTGAGCCATCTTTCCAGCTCCTGCCCCACGTGTGTTCCTTATTATAACAAGTTATCTCTGAGAGAACACACTCATCCTGTGGGACCAGTGTTGACCACTTTTGTCTTAAGTTTCTTTTCCTGTTGCTGTGACCAAACACCCTGACCAAATATCCTAACCAAAGCAACTCAAGTAGAACGGGCTTATGGTGACAGAAATCCAGGGTACAGGCCACCATGGTGGGGTCTAGGCGGCAGGAGTCTGAGGTGCCTGTCTTCCTCCTTGGAATGACGTCTAGGACCCGTGCCCGGCGACTGGTGCCACCCTCCTTCCTGGTGAGTCTCTTTACCTCAAGCCAATCAAGAAAATTCCTTGGCGTTATTCCCAGAGGCCAGTCTAATCCAGCCAGTCGCTCACAGTTGGACCTAGAGGCTTGTCTCCTGGGTGGTTCTAAGTCTCCTCAAGTTGACAATCAAGATCGTCCATCAGCCCTTCTGTGGATGATTCTCCTAGAGACTTATCTCCAAAGATCCACATTTTAGTGGTTTCAACGCCTCTCACTATTACCAAACCTCTGACACTGAACAGTCCCTGGACTCCAAGTCCATTTCTCCTCCAATATTTTGTGATAACATTTGAGTTGGAAATCATTTTTCCTTTTTTCCTGGTTGTCCACATCTTTCTGCAGATTAATGTATTTGATTACAAGGTACTCCCTCAAATCCCCAAAGAGAGGTCACATAATATACAGTCTGTATTATTTTAAAATACAATTAAACATTATGTTAGACATACTTTCATTATCATCATGACATATTATGAAATATAAATATTTGTGAACTAGAAAAACACTGCCTAAAAAAATTCTGTCCCCCAAATTTCAAATAAGAAACTTTTCAGTGGACTTACGGCTGTTTATTTTATTTAAAAAAATCTATTATGCGTTCTGAGACTGCTTTATTTGCTTAATTGTGTTATTATAGAATGTGTAGTACTAAGCAATCTTGAATGTATCTCTACATTTTGGAACTTTAACTGACTGAATGGCCAGACGTGGGGTTTCTGAGGCCAGGAGCATGCACGGCATCAGTGGTCTCACTGCTGAAAGGTTGAATGTGAGTTCCCTTCCTGTGAGCTGTCTTTCTAGAATGCCAGTGTGTGTGTGTGTGTGTGTGTGTGTGTGTGTGTGTGTGTGTCTTGTATACATGGGTATGCTTGATGTGGAGGCCAGAGGTCGACCTCCGGTGTTTTCCTATCATTATCCACTACTTATCTTTAATTTTTTACATCTATTTACTTGTGTGTGCACATGTATGCAAATGGTGAAACATCTATGTTGTGCTGGATAGCTTTAGTGTCAACTTGACACACCTGGGTTGAAGGAGCCTCAACTGGGGAATTGCCTCCATTGGACTGGCCTGTGGCCATGTCTGTGGGGTATCTTCTTGATTGATGAGTGGTGTCGGAGAGGGCAGCCCACTGTGGGTGGTGCCACCCCTGGGCAGGTGGGCCTGTGTTGTATAAGAAAGCAGGCTGAGCAGGGGCCAGGGGAGCAAGCGAGTAAGCAGCGTTCCTCCATGGCCTGTGCTCCAGCTCCTGCCTCCAGGTTCCTGCCCTAAGTTTCTACCTTGGGCTCCCTGATGAACTGCGACCTGGGAGATGTAAGCTGAATAAACCCTTTCCTCCCCAAGTTGGTATTGGTCAGAGTGCTTTGTTACCACAATGGAGAAACAAACTAGAACACATGTGGAGGTCAAGGGACAACCTGGAGGAATATGTCCTCTCCTGTGATGTCCACCCAGACACCTGGGAGTTTGCGCACAGGGGGCAGCGCCTGAAGCCACACAGCAGAATCCCACCTCCGCTGTTCTAGCTGTGCTGGTGCATGACTTCCTGCTGTGCATCCTCTGGTGGTTGAGTGAGGGCGTCAGACGTGAGAATTAGTGTTGAAGGTGTCTTAGGAGTTCCTATTCTGGAAAGTGAACATTTATTACACCATGCCCAAAGAGGAACTGAGTTACAAGCTATTTACTTGCCATAACTGAACACCTCCAGGGCATTGTGGGAGACTGCTAGATGGTTCTAAGGCAGGGATTACTAATTCGTGACTAACCCTCCCACCCTATTCACACATCCGGGACTCTGGCATCATTCTCTCCTTTCTCTGAGTGCACAGAGATCCACCTTCCCTCTCAGCTTTTGACGCCATGTGATAGGTGCTTCTCCTTCCTCTGCCCTGTGGATTTCCCCTTCTTCAAAACCTGGCCCAAGGGTTCTGTTATCAGTAGATGTATGTCTCCAGACTTGGTTTTCATTCCACTAACTGAAAACTTGACAGCACAGAAGACGGTTTCTCTATAACTTGGTCCATTTGTGCTACTGTAACAAAATGCCAGGGGCTGGACTTAAGTAACATGCATGCATTCTTCACAGTTCTAAGGGCTGGAAATCTGAGGTCATATGTCAGCATGGCTAGGTTTTTGGCAAGGGCTCCTGACATGGTCTAAATATTTGTGCTCCTCTG